AGGATAGTGAGGCTCAAGTTAGAGTATGTAGGAAAGAGGGAGATTATTTCCCAGTAAAAGTAGGCCTTAGACAAGGATGTGTGATGTCACCGTGGTTGTTTAATATATTTATAGATGGGGTTGTAAGAGAAGTAAATGCGAGGGTCTTGGCAAGAGGCACGGAGTTAAAAGATAATCACACATAAAGTGGGAGTTGTGACAGTTGCTCTTTGTTGATGATACTGTGCTCTTGGGAGATTCTGAAGAGAAGTTGCAGAGGTTGGTGGATGAATATGGTAGGGTATGCAAAAGAAGAAAATTAAAAGTGAATACAGGAAAGAGTAAGGTTATGAGGATAACAAAAAGATTAGGTGATGAAAGATTGGATATCAGATTGGAGGAAGAGAGTATGGAGGAGGTGAATGTATTCAGATATTTGGGAGTGGACGTGTCAGCGGATGGGTCTATGAAAGATGAGGTGAATCATAGAACTGATGAGGGGAAAAGGGTGAGCGGTGCACTTAGGAGTCTGTGGAGACAAAGAACTTTGTCCTGGGAGGCAAAGAGGGGAATGTATGAGAGTATAGTTTTGCCAACGCTCTTATATGGGTGTGAAGCGAGAAGGCTGGAGGCAGTGGAGATGTCATGTCTGAGGGCAATGTGTGGTGTGAATATAATGCAGAGAATTCGTAGTTTGGAAGTTAGGAGGAGGTGCGGGATTACCAAAACTGTTGTCCAGAGGATTGAGGAAGGGTTGTTAAGGTGGTTCGGACATGTAGAGATAATGGAGCGAAACAGAATGACTTCAAGAGTGTATCAGTCTGTAGTGGAAGGAAGGCGGGGTAGGGGTCGGCCTAGGAAAGGTTGGAGGGAGGGGGTAAAGGAGGTTTTGTGTGCGAGGGGCTTGGACTTCCAGCAGGCATGCTTGAGCGTGTTTGATAGGAGTGAATGGAGACAAATGTTTTTAATACTTGACGTGCTGTTGGAGTGTGAGCAAAGTAACATTTATGAAGGGATTCAGGGAAACCGGCAGGCCGGACTTGAGTCCTGGAGATGGGAAGTACAGTGCCTGCACTCTGAAGGAGGGGTGTTAATGTTGCAATTTAAAAAACTGTAGTGTAAAGTACCCTTCTGGCAAGATAGTGATGGAGTGAATGATGGTGAAAGTTTTTCTTTTTCGGGCCACCCTACCTTGGTGGGAATCGGCCAGTGTGTTAATACTAATAATAATAATAATAATAATAATATATATATATATATATATATATAATATATATATATATATATATATATATATATATATATATAATATATATATATATATATATATAAAATAATATATATATATATATATAAATATATATATATATATATATATTATATATATATATATATATATATATATATATATATAATGTGTGTGTGTATGTGTGTGTATGTGTGTGTTTTGTGTGTTTGTGTTTTTTTTTTTTTTTGTGTGTGTGTGTGTGTGTGTCGTGCCGAATAGGTAAAACTTGCTATTTTGGCTTAAATAGCAACGCTCTTCTTGCCGAATAAGACAAGCGAAAATTTGTGTATGCAATGATTTCCCAAAAATCATCATGAACCTAAAGAAAAAATCTATTTCATTGTGTTTGTTTATTATTAAATGATTATAAACTTATCAAAAATATATTTTGTTGGATTAGGCTAAATTAAATTGCGCTTGTTATAATAAGGTTAGTTAAGTTTTCTAAGGTAATTTTGGCACAAAATTATTAATTTTCACATTTACATAAATGAAAAAAAATCTTTAAACGTATAAGAGAAAATTTTAGAAAGGACTAAATTTTAAATGAGTATTTCCTAACTGCCCAGTTTTTACCTTAGTCCTTTCTCAAATTTTCTCTTATAAATTTAGATATATATTTTTCATTTATGTAAATTTAAAAATTAATTATTTTTTACCAAAAGAACCTTAGGAAACTTACCTAACCTTATTATAACGAGTGCAATTTAATTTAGCCTAAACCAACTAAATATATTTTATATTAGCTTACAATAATTTAATAATAATCAGAATGGTTTTCTGCAAAATTATTGCATACACAAATTTTCGCTTGACCTATTTGGCAAGAAGTGAGTTGCTATTTAAGTCAAATCCGCAAAGTTTTACTTATTCGACAAGCCATGATATATATATGTCGTGCCGAATAGACAGAACTTGCGATCTTGGCTTAAATAGCAACGCTCATCTTGCCATATAGGACAAGTGAAAATTTGTGTATGCAATAATTTCGTCAAAATCATTCTGAACCTAACAAAAAAAATGTATTTAATTGTGTTTGTTTAGTACTAAATTATTGTAAAGTATTTAAAATATATTTAGTTGGGTTAGGCTAAAATAAATTGCTCTTGTTATAATAAGGTTAGGTAAGTTTTCTAAGTTCCTTTTGGTGCAAAATTATAAATTTTTACATCAACATTAATGAAAAAAAATATATCTTTAAACGTATAAGAGAAAATTTTAGATTATTATTATTATAATCAAAAAGAAGCGCTAAGCCACAAGGGCTATACAGCGCAAAGAAAATTTTAGAAAGGACTTAATTTTAAATGAGTTCTTGCTAATTGACCAGTTTTACATATTCGGCACGACATATTAGTCAGAGGGCAGAAGAGGGGTTGTTGAGGTGGTTTGGTCATTTAGAGAGAATGGACCAAAGTAGAATGATATGGAAAGCATATAAATCTATAGGGGAAGGAAAGAGGGGTAGGGGTCGTCCTCGAATGGGTTGGAAAGAGGGGGTAAAGGAGGTTTTGTGGGCGAGGGGCTTGGACTTTCAGCAAGCGTGCATGAGCGTGTTAGATAGGAGTGAATGGAGACGAATGATACTTGGGACCTGACGATCTGTTGGAATGTGAGCAGGGTAATATTTAGTGAAGGGATTCAGGGAAACCGGTTATTTTCATATAGTCGGACTTGAGTCCTGGAAATGGGAAGTACAATGCCTGCACTTTAAAGGAGGGGTTTGGGATATTGGCAGTTTAGAGGGATATGTTGTGTATCTTTATACGTATATGCTTCTAAACTGTTGTATTCTGAGCACCACTGCAAAAGCAGTGATAATGTGTGAGTGTGGTGAAAGTGTTGAATGATGAAAGTATTTTCTTTTTGGGGATTTTCTTTCTTTTTTGGGTCACCCTGCCTCGTTGGGAGACGGCCGACTTGTTGAAAAAATAATATATATATATATATATATATATATATATATATATAATATATATATATAATATATATATATATATATATATAATATATATATATTATATATATATATATATATATATATATATATATATATATATATATATATATATATATTATATATATATATGTATATATATATATAGTATATATATATATATATATATATATATATATATATATATATATATATATATATATAATGTCGTGCCGAATAGGCAGAACTTGCGATCTTGGCTTAAATAGCAACGCTCATCTTGCCATATAGGACAAGTGAAAATTTGTGTATGCAATAATTTCGCCAAAATCATTCTGAACCTAACGAAAAAAAATACATTTCACTGTGCTTGTTTAGTAGTAATTTATTGTAAACAAATCTAAAATATGTTTACTTGGGTTAGGATAAAATAAATTACCCTTGTTATAATAAGGTTAGGTAAGTTTTCTAAGATTTTTTTGGTGCAAAATTATAAATTTTTACATTAACATTAATGAAAAAAATATATCTTTAAACGCATAAGAGAAAATTTCAGAAAGGAATTAATTTTAAATGAGTTCTTGCTAATTGACCAGTTTTACATATTCGGCACGACACACACATATGTATATATATATATATATATATATATATATATATATATATATATATATAATATATATATATATATATATATATATATATATATATATAATATATATGTCGTGCCGAATAGGCAGAACTTGCGATTTTGGCTTAAATAGCAACGCCCATCTTGCCATATAAGACGAGTGAAAATTTGTGTATGCAATAATTTTGCCAAAATCATTCTGAACCTAACGAAAAAAATATATTTCACTGTGTTTATTTAGTATTAAATTATTGTAAACGTATCTAAAATATATTTAGTTGGGCTAGGCTAAAATAAATTGTTCTTGTTATAATAAGGTTAGGTAAGTTTCCTAAGATTCTTTTGGTGGAAAATTACAAATTTTTACATTATCATTAATGAAAAAAATATATCTTTAAATGTATAAGAGAAAATTTTAGAAAGGACTTAATTTTAAATGAGTTCTTGCTAATTGACCAGTTTTACATATTCGGCACGACATATATATGTATATATATATATATATATATATATATATATAATATATATATATATATATATATATATATATATATATATATATATATATATATATTATATATATATATATGTTGTGCCGAATAGGCAGAACTTGCGATCTTGGCTTAAATAGCAACGCTCATCTTGCCATATAGGACAAGTGAAAATTTGTGTATGCAATAATTTCGCCAAAATCACTCTGAACCTAACGAAAAAAATATATTTGATTGTGTTTGTTTAGTACTAAATTACTGTAAACGTATTTAAAATATATTTAGTTGGGTTAAGCTAAAATAAATAGCTTTTTTTATAATAAGGTTAGGTAAGTTTTCTAAGATTCTTTTGGTGCAAAATTATAAATTTTTACATTAACATTAATGAAAAAATATATATCTTTAAACGTATAAGAGAAAATTTTAGAAAGGACTTAATTTTAAATGAGTTCTTGCTAAATGACCAGTTTTACACACACACACACACACACACACACCACACACAACACACACACACACATATATATATATATATATATATATATATATATATATATATATATATATAATATATATATATATATATATATATATATATATATATATATATATATATATATATATATATATATATATATATTCCTAATGTATCTTCCTTAATGGACTGTACATCAGCAACAGCAGCAGCAGCAGCAGCATGCACTGGTAATGAGGAATGCTGGGAGTTCAATGGACAGTGCCAGACAACACCTTGCGCTGCCTATCAACAACAGATCCCCGGTGGCTGCAGTGGCTCTGGCTGCATCTGCTGCGCCCCTATAAGTTAGTATTGTAACTTTCAATTTTTAACCACATCTGAACATAGCAAATAAATGGTGCGGTCTCACTCACCTTTTTTTTAATAAGGTATGCGATAGGGGTAGTAAAAATGGGAAGAGGAAGAACTGGGGAAAGACAGAGTAGAGAGAAAGGTAGTGGGTAGAGAAGAAGGATTAATAAGTGTGTTGACCACTCTAGATGCTTTTTTGTCACATAACGAACTGGGATTCACGTTCACCTGATAAGGATGAAATTAAGAGCTAGATAAAATTTGGAGAAAATTGCTAATACAAGGAATAAGCGTAAAAAGAGAGCAAACGAGAGGGAAGAGAAGAGGGGCGAGAAGGAAGTGGGTTGCATCATATAGATCTGATGTTAATTAGGGTTAGAAACATTGGGAGAGGGAGCTGAACATGAGCCATGAAGAAACCTTGGAAAAGTTTGGGAGATGAAAAATGAGGAACAGGTTAAAATAACTGCAATTCGTTAATAAGAAATAATAATACAAAACTAATTTCCAAATAAGCCTTAAAATATTTGCAACAAAAATGTGTTTTTATATTTATGTGTTTTCAGTTCGTGATTCTGGCAATAATACCAAATACCGACAGTTAAACAAAACACCAGAAACGATGATACATTTATCAGACGGAGTAAATGAAGAGAATGAAGAAGCTTCTGAAGAACTGAAAAAAGATGTAACAGAAAATGAGGAGCAGCAGTAATACCCTCTGTACTTACACCTACACGCACGCATGCACACTCACACACATGCACACTCACACATGCACACTCACACACATGCACACACACACACACACACACACACACACACGCACACACACACACACACACACACACACACACACACACACACACACACACACACACACACACACACACACACACACACACACAGGGCTCTGCAACGATTCACAGTAAAACTATTTTGTTTTTAGAGCTTGCAAATAAACGAATACAAAGGTTCTTTATGTTACTGGACAGGATACCATTAACACGCATCCTAACTGTACCATTGCTATGATGCACCTACCGTTAAATAATAATTTCATTACCACTATCATAACGCAGGAGCCATGACAATTACTATAACTACCATGATCTACCTGTCATTGATGATGGTTATACACTCGTGTGTAACTTGTTATTTCATGACATAATAACATTGTTGGTATACCCCACATAACACTCTTGTTATATTCCACATAACACTCTTGTTATATTCCACATAACACTCTTGTTATATTCCACATAACACTCTTGTTATATTCCACATAACACTCTTGTTATATTCCACATAACACTCTTGATATACCTGATATAATAACATTTGGTATACTCGACATAATAACACTCTTAATGTACTTCACACATTACATACTGAGGCTTTACGGAGTGAATTCCGCTTAATGTTACAGAATATAGTTTTAAAATGGAGCTAATTGTTCAAAATTAATTTATAATTATTAAATTGCTCTAAAAGTATATTTTTTTCTTAATACGGTATACCACTGACCAATATACACTGATATTTCTCGTTTTCCAACCCATCCTGGCAAACACTGTGTACATTTCTAACATATGGCTTGCGGCTAATCTCTCAGATTTCATTATTTAGGCCAGCTTAGGCTTGGAGAGGGTAAATTAGGAATAAATAAAACAAAAAAGTTCTAGAGCGAGAACAGAAACCCTGTACCTACTGAGCAAGACTGACACACCACACGAATTTTCATTATTTTGTAACAGTAGAATGCTGACTGTTATGTAGAGGACAGGCTAAATTTACGTAAGTATTATTTTTTTCATAATGACCTAGATTACATGCATTTGTAACTTTTTCTACAATATATTATTGAATATGCTGGTGTGTGCCTCACCTTTTGGGAGCTTGTTAAAATGTTTATGGTTTCGGAGAGTTTATCTGTTTAATGCAATACAAAAATACAAAGAAAAACGCGAGTTTCATTGTACCTTTTACATCAACTGCTATACATAGAAAGGTATTTGCTACAAACATACACTGTGGCTTTGGGCTCACTACTTAATGCTGTGCTGGCCAATGTTTTCATGGAGCAAATGGAAACGGAATGCATACTTTAATAAGGTTATTCCTTAGTTCCTAAAAAGAAAATAGTCACATTATGAAAAACTCATTCCCCATAATTTAATACCACCCCACTCCCCAACACCCTAGCATTTACTTCTTTTGCAACCCCATCTATAAATATATTAACCATGGTGACATTACACAACCCTGTCTAAGACCTACTTTTACTGGGAAGTAATTTCCCTCTCTCCTACATACCCTAACCTGAGCCTCACTATCCTCATAAAATCTCTTTACAGCATTAAGTAACTTACTACCTATGTCATACACTTGCAACGTCTGCCACATTCCTCCCCTATCCCCTCTATCGTATGTTTTTTTCTAAATCCATAAATGCAATGAAAACTTCCCTACATTTATCTAAATATTATTCATTTATATGCTTCAATGTAAACACTTGATCTACACATCCCCTACACATTCTAAAGCCTCCTTGCTCATCTGTGATCCTAATTCTTTCAACAATTCTTCACATTATCAAGAGGAACAAAGAATGACAACTCTGGGTTCTGACAAATTTTCCAAGTTATTGCAGACCCTAATGTGGCTGAAATCGCATTTTATTCCGGTACAGTTTGTATCAAATATCGGTGTTGTGATATCCTGACATCTAAAAGTTTGCCAGTCTGGCCAACATAAGATAAGTTGCAGCCACTGCAACCAATCCTGTAGACACCACCAACACACTGTTGAGGAGAAATCTTTATCAAAATGCTTTTAACAGTGTGAATTCTTAAAAACTGCTTGTATTTTGTATCTTTTGGGGGCATTCGGCAGGACAGATAAATTCTCTTTGTCTGGGAGAGCCATCACATTCTTTATTAGATTACATATATAAGCGATTGAGAACAATGAAACGGAAAACTGAATGTTTTCATGTTAGAAAATAAACAACCTCATAGCACAAAGTGGCTGGTCCCAACATGCTAACCCAGATTTCACTATTAATCTCTCAAGTGTTGAGCTTACCCATGATCAACAGACACTACTAGTGCTACCATTAGCAGTGCTGCACCTACTAGTCCTCTTCAAGGGGGGCTCCTCAGCGTGGTGAAGAGGCTCTTGGTTTGAGGAATTAGACCTGTCGGTCTCCTTCCTCAGACCGAACCTAATTACCCCCCAATCCCCCCTTCCCTATCCCATCCTCCCCTTTTTCCTTTCCTCCTCGTCCCCACCCCTCCCTTTTGCCCTTCCTCTTTTTGGCCTTTGGGATTTTTCTCACAGGCGCACTAGTTCCTGGGTAGGGGAAAGGGTACCGGGGTCCATCCCATTCCGTTGAGGTTCTTGGCGGTGGCGTAGTTTGCCATGGAATCTGGATCGCCTGGGGATGTCCTGATCTCTCCGGTATCCCGGAGGGTGGCTTTGGGTGTCTTTCGGGCGACGGGTGTATCTCTGGAAGCCAACTTTCGGATTCCGGGGGTGGTGGCCGAAGGAGGTATGCTTTGTAGCGGATATCTGGCCACCCTCTCTTTTGTCCACCAAGGTAGCTCAGCAGATGTGAGGCTGGTATCCCAGATTGCTGGTTTACTGGCATGAAGGGTAGGGTATGGCACGGGTTCCATGCTGCATCTGCACGCTACTTGCGGTGCTGAGGTCCTCTTGGGGGCAGAGGGAGATTTCCGGCCCTTTCATTTCTCCTGGGAACTATTCCTCCCCGCTCCCCCCTTTTTATTCTTTTTTTTTTATTTTTATTTTCTTTTCTTCTTTCTTTTTTTTCCAGTCTCTGTACCTGGTTCTTCCCCTCTCACTGGCTCTATTACAAGTGTGGAAGTTCACCCTCCTCGTTCTGTGCCTTCCTCCCCTGTCCCCTCCCAAGTCTCTCCCTCTTCTGCCACCTCCCAGGTATCTGCCTCTTCTGTCCCCTCCCACACTTCTCCAGTTCCCAACACGCTTTCATCCCCCCCTACTTTAGTACAGTCCATTACTGTCCCAATCTTTACTCACCCTCCTCCTTCTATCTCCAATATTGTCTCCCATACAACGTCTTTGAATTCAGAAACACTTGACGCTATTTCAGAATATATTGCAGGGACTAAACCTTCAATGGACACTGATCCACCTCCTATTCCTTCTCTTCCCTCTCCTCCATCTCCACAACTCCATTCTTTGCAACGCTCCATTCCTTTGCTGCTTGAACGTTTTCCGATGCCACCGCACGTAGACTTTTCTAACCCCTCTAGTCCGTAGGTGCCCTTACCTGTGGATTCCTGGTATTTTCTTCGTTGCCAATCATGGCCTATTTACAGTGGAATATCCTTCTATCTCCAATATTGTCTCCCATACAACGTCTTTGAATTCAGAAACACTTGATGCTATTTCAGAATATATTGCAGGGACTAAACCTTCAATGGACACTGATCCACCTCCTATTCCTTCTCTTCCCTCTCCTCCATCTCCACAACTCCATTCTTTGCAACGCTCCATTCCTTCGCTGCTTGAACGTTTTCCGATGCCACCGCATGTAGACTTTTCTAACCCCTCTAGTCCGTAGGTGCCCTTACCTGCGGATTCCTGGTATTTTCTTCGTTGCCAATCATGGCCTATTTACAGTGGAATATCCGCGGCTTCAGGGGTAATCAGAGTGAGCTTCAGATGTTGCTTTCCAGGTTTTCCCCTGTTGGTGTTTGCTTACAAGAACTAAAATTACACTCGGCTGTTTTCCAACCCATCTCAGGCTATAATTTATTGTATTCTTCGGATCCTTTCTCAGATGGGACCTTTAATGAAAGTGCCCTTCTACGCAATATTCCGTACTGTCAACTATTTGTCCATACCTCGCTGCATTACAGTGCAGCCCATATCCACTTGAATAAGTGGTTTACAATATGTTCTTTATATCTCTCTCCTTCTCGGGCATTATCTATCCCAGATTTTGCCTTTCTTGTTTCATCCTTACTGCCACCACTTCTGTTACTTGGCGATTTTAATGCCCACCATTTCCTCTGGGAGGGTCTCATTGTGACTCACGTGGCATTCAGCTGGAGGCTTTTCTCGCTTCTCACCCCCTCCATGTTTTAAATACAGGTATCCCCACCCAGTTTGATCCTCGTACTCACACTCTCTCTTGCATCGATCATTCGGTCTGCTCTTCCTCCACTGCACTAGACTTTGCCTGGTCTGTTCTACCGGACTTACATGACGGCGATCATTTTCCAATCATTCTTCTCCTTCATATTCACCACCTCTTCGTAGCCCTCGCTGGCAATTTGATTGAGCAAATTGGGACCTTTACTCGAAACTAACTGCTTTTGGTGAAGTTCCTTCTTCATCCTCCATTGATGAACTTTTACACCTCTTCTCGACATCAGTTTTAACCACAGCTTCTCATTCTATCCCCCAAACCTCAGGTAGGCATTCTCAGAAGTGTGTGCCATGGTGGTCTCCTGCCTGTGCTCGGGCAGTACGTTTGAAATGCGCTGCGTGGGGTAGGTACTAGTACAATAGAACCACAGAGAGACTTCTTGATTTTAAGCAGAAGCGAGCAGTCGCTCGCCATGTCATCCGTGATGCTAAACGCACTTGCTGGTGAGATTATGTTTCCACCATCACCTCGGCTTCCTTTATGAGTGCAATCTGGAAAAAAGTACGGAAATTGAGTGGTAAATGCTCTCTTGACCCGGCTCCTGTTTTGCAGGTTGCTGGTGTTGATATAGCAAACCCTCTTGATGTTGCCACTGAAATTGGCAATCATCTGTCCGTATTTCTCAGGGGTTCCATCTATGCCTCTCGTTTCTTTCCTCAAAGTCTGCCAGAGAGTTAGCACCCTTGGACTTTTCTTCTCACATTGAAGAACCATATAATGTGCCTTTTACACTTCAGAAACTGGAGGCGACACTCTCCACTTGCCGATCATCGGCAGTTGGGCCTGACGACATTCATATTCGGATGTTACAACATCTACATCAGCCCTTGTATTCCTCTTACACCTCTTCAATCTTATTTGGTCACAAGGAGTTCTCCCCAGCTGTGGAAATCTGCCATTGTTCTCTCTTTCAGCAAACCGAAGGATGGTATCGTCCCATTGCTCTTAACAGTGCAGTTTGGAAAATGATGGAACGTCTGGTAAATTGATGTTTAATGTTGTATTTAGAGGCACACAACAGTCTCTCCACTAGTCAATATGGCTTTTGTAAGGGCCGTTCTACTATAGACCCTTTACTATGCTTGGATACGTATGTTCATAATGCCTTTGCGAATAACCACTGTTATTGCCATATTTTTTGACCTCGAGAAGGCATATGATACAACTTGGAGGTATAATATTTTGGCCCGAGCCCACTCCTTAGGCCTCCGAGGCAATCTACCATCCTTCCTTAAAAACTTTTTAACTGACAGACATTTCTGTGTTCGGGTTAATAATGTGCTCTCCCCGGATTTTGTCTAAGCTGAGGGTGTCCCTCAGGGATGTGTTCTGGGCACAACACTTTTTCTCCTCAAATTACTTTCACTAGGCGCTCTGTCATCTCCAATCATCCTTTGTACCTCTATGGCTCACGTATCCCTGAACGTGATACAGTCAGGTTTCTAGGCCTTCTCTTTGACTGTAGGTTATCCTGGAAACCTCACATTACCTCTCTGAAGGCAACTTGTCACAACCGGCTGAACCTTCTCAAAACTCTTGCTCATCTTTCATGGGGAGCTGATCGTCGAACTCTCTTTCGCCTACATTCAGCCCTCATTTTATCGAAACTCGATTATGGTGATCAGATCTATTCAGCGGCTTCTACTACTCTCTCGAGCCTTAATCCCATCCATCACCAGGGATTATGTTTGTGCCTTGGTGCTTTTCGCTCTTCTGTTGAGAGCCTCTATGCAGAAGCGAATATTCCATCCTTGTCCAATCGCGGCGATGCCCATTGCCTTCGCTACTATGTTTGCTCTCATGATCTCCGCAATCCTTCCATATATAGAATAGTCGCCGATGTTAGTAGACATTCTTTATTTGTTCGTCGCCCCTGTTTGCTCCATCCCTTTTCTCTTCGACTACATTCACTCTTGTCTTCCCTTCAGTTACCACCTTTCTATGTTCATGTAGCATCTCACTTCTCCCTGCCCCCCTGGGAAGTTCCAGCTGTCCAAGTCTGTTCTTTCTCATTCCTTGCGCAAAAGCCCAGCTAGCTACGGTAGCTTCCCACTCTCTTTTTCTTGACCACTTCCGCTCTCATTCTCATGCCATCGCAGCGTACACAGATGGCTCTAAGTCTTCTGATGGCGTCGGGTTCACAGCAGTGTTTCCAGTGTCGTGCGAGGACATTTACTATCCTCGGCTACCATTTTTGCAGCTGAATTGTATGTCATTCTTGCAGCACTTATCTGTATTGCATCTATGCCTGTGTCATCATTTGTGGTTGTCTCAGACTCCTTTAGTGCTCTACAGGCTATACGAAAATTTGATACACCTCACCCCCTAGTCCTCCGTATCCAACTTTGGCTACGCTGCATCTCTACCAAGCATAAAGATATTGTTTTTTGTTGGGTCCCTGGTCATGTTGACGTACAGGGCAATGAACAGGCAGACACTGCTGCACGGTCAGCAGTACATGACCTACCAGTTTCATAGAGGTGTTCCATTTACGGACTATTTTGCTGTAATAGTTACCCACCTTCACACCTGTTGGCAACAATGTTGGTCTAATCTACTCGGTAACAAACTTCATTCTATTAAACCGAGTATACATTACTGGCCGTCTTCTTGTCATCAGTGTCGAGGTTGGGAGACTAATCTCTCCCGTCTTCGCATTGGCCACACTCATCTTACTCATGGGTATCTCATGGAGAGGCACCCTGTTCCTCTCTGTGAGATGTGTCAGGTTCCAGTATCGGTTAGCCACATTCTGTTAGACTGCCCTCTCTATCAACGAGCACGCAGAATTTACCTCCAACGTCGTCTCCGCTCTACTATCTCTTTACCTTCCATTCTTGCTGATGGACCGTCCTTTAATCCTGACTCTCTCATTGACTTCTTGACAACAACTGACTTACTCCACAAACTCTGATGACGATACCTTTCGCACTCCCCTCAGCCCTTTCTACCTCAATCTCTTGCTACCCCCCTACCCCTGTACTATCCACTGCCCCGCTGTTCTCCATACCCTGCTAATTATCCCTCTCCCTTTTGCCACCTGATACCCCTGCTTCCTTCCTGCCCTGCAGCGCTGTATAGCCCTTGTGGTTTAGCGCTTCTTTTTGATTATAATAATAATGCACCTACTAGTGGTAGAACTAATTGTGATGATCTTGCCTAGTCTTTTTGCAATCTGGAAAAGCAAAGTTTTGCTTGTGTTTTTACAAATTTGAACACAGTAAAATCGCTAAAAAAAATACTTGGAGTCGTTGTAATCCATGTCATAACTCGAGAATGACTCATCTAATTGTCTTCAAATTTTCACGACTGGTGTGGGTTCCTGAACACCAGGGTCCAGCTGGGTGGCATAAGCCCCAACTATCCCATTTTAATGAATAGTGATATTTATATTCACTAAGAATGCTTCTTCTGATCGGATTCAATATATTAATGGTGATACATTATATAAGAATGACGATACTTGGCAAGTTTAGTGTGAGTTGGTATAAATTTGAAATTTTACTGAAATTACTAAAAAACTTGGGATCGTTTGAATCAGATCAATTACTTGAGAAAGTCTTTTCTGATCGGCGTTAAACTTCCACATTTGGATGTTTAGCGTAAATTTCAATTTGTCATTTTAATTAAATAACTTGTATCCCACGTAATAAACTAAAGAATACCTCTTCTGATCGGCTTCAACCTCTAAACACTGATGTATCTTAATTTGTACTGATTTTAAGTTGTGTGGGTACCAATTTCCCAACTTTTAAACAACTTTATCACTATCGATTGTCTTAAAAAACATAAAACATCTATTAATATTTTGAGAGAATTTAACGAGAGAATTTCCTATTTTCAGGATATTGTTCAGTTTCACAGCTTGTGTTACTTAATGGAAGGTTTTAATTAAATCTCTGTATAGTCCTTGTGGCTTAGCGCCTCTTTTTGATTATAATAATAATTTAATTAAATCTGGGCGTGTATCCCCTAATCTGCCTTCTCTATAATGAAGAAACAGCGCTGTATAGCCCTTGTGGCTTAGCGCTTCTTTTTGATTATAATAATAATAATACAATGAAGAAATTCGGATAATTTTCATACGATGACTTGTGAACATCACTTCTGATTTGTTTCAAAACTTCAAAGCTAATATTTAACGACATTACAAACTTATTAAGCACCCTGAATTATTCCAATCACGTGAACAAGTGTACAGGGGACTGGAAGTATGCTATACGGGGATACCTTTCTCGGATCATGCTGTTAATTTACTTTGAAAGAGAATATTTCCACCACTATTAGTGGTGGCTATCTAACAAAGTTAAATGACGTTTAGGCAATTGAAGAAACTGCTGTGTGTGACAGAAGTGTTGAGTTTCCATGTACAACATTCTTGTTTACCACTGTGTTGTATTACTTATCCATAGTCTCTCTACTGATTTGCTTTGCTCAAGCTTACCTTACATGTTATCCACTACTGCAGCTTTGATATCAGACCACAAATAGTACGTTCAAAACTTGTGTTACATGGAATATTATCACTGCAAAGTAAAACAACACATACTTTGTTCTTTTTTATTGCAATAAATTCAAGAAAAACTCCGAAACACCGACGATTTTACAATCTGCTGAAGACTATAACCCCAAACATCATCAAATTATTAATTTTTTCACCAACAACACAAGCATAAAGCGACACTGCATCAACAGTGCCTCAGCACGTTCTGTTTACCAACA